TGTTCTTTCTACTTTTATTAGTTACAAAACATGATACTAACTATCGTCAGGTAATGGATATTTCTTAATCAAGTACTGAAGGGAGTGGATTATGTTGACATCAATCTTTGGAAATAGAATCCTTAATATGAGATTTTGGGGGGTCCATAAGTTTTAAGAAATCAATTAATCAAATGACATATTATATATATATGCATCACTATTTGTGGCCCTCTTCAAAAAGGGGGAATATATGTATATATATCTCTAATGAATGACATGTGCTTAGGTATTTTGGAAAATGATAGTGCAGTGGTGTGGTATTTGTCATGTTTTGCGGAGGAGAAACAACTTTTAATCCTTTTGACACTTTTAACTTTTTATTTGGACAAATTAAATAGGAAACAAGCTATGTAAGTTGTAACCATCATTTAATAGATATTTCATGCATGGTTTGCTTGGGTCCATGAATTTATTTTAGTTTTGTTGTATATGTATGTAAATAAAATGAAAAGGCTTAAACCCCTAATTTGGTTCTTCAATTATTATACAGACCCCTGAGTTGGTTTCTGAACTAAAAAAATTTCATTTTTGGTTCATAAAGTTTCTAAATTTGGCCCCCAAGTTGGTCCTTTAGTACAAAAGTAATTGACATATTTCGTTATTAATGTGACATGTGATTATTAAGTAGCAATTTTTTGTTATTAAGTAACAATTTTTTGTCATTAAATAACGAATACATCAGTTGTTTTTTAATAGAAGGATTAACTCAGAGTTAAATTTGGAAACTTTAAGGACTAAATTAAGAATTTTTTTAGTTTTAGAACCAACTCAAGGATCCATATAATAGTTGAGAGATCAAATTAGAGATTTAACCAATCGAAAAATGTTTTATAGTGAGATTGTTTCATACTATAAAATACTAATCCTTTGACGAGGGAAGAGTTCTTTGATATTAGTACCCTCTCCTATTAAAGAAGTTTTATTTTATTGTTCAAAATAACTTAAATTGTAAAACAATGCACCATCACTAAAATATTTTGGGATGTTATTCCTTAATTGGGCTTTGCGTAAAACTGAAGGAGGGCCGAGAGATAGCAGTGTCCTATCTTATAATGGATGATGCCAACGAGGCCTGACGTAATCCATGTTGATCAGAGCCCAAGTCATTAAGGCCCGCTTGTATTCTTTCTCAAAATGTAGCAGTTTTGATTGAGCTGATGGGTTCAGACTCATGTACCCTGTTCGTCCTAATTCCTAACTATTCGGTCTAGACCGAATTGCTAGCTTCTGCAGGAGACAACACCACCTGTAAGTGTCATGGAATAAAAAATGTACTCCATGGTTCCTTTTTATCTGTCGTCTGATTTATATAGTTTTAGGTAATATTTTTGTATAGTATTTAAATGAATTTTTACATCAAAAAAGTATTTAAATGAATTTTTCATAAAAAATTATCAAATAAAATAAGTTAAAAAGTTCTGTGTATAAGAAAAAAAATTTTTACATTCATTGTATTAAAAAATATTTTTAAAAAGTTTAGAGAATTAATTGTTGGTGCGCCTCTTCAACTGAGATTGTAAACTAGTAACATCATTCAAGGGATGATCATTAAGAAGGCCAAAAATAAAAAGAGATAATCAATACAATCCCACTTTTTTTTTTTTTTCAATCTTGGTTGCACAATGAAAAGCAATCATTTTTTATTTCTTATCTCACCCCATTCGCATGTCATGTGATTCGAACTTAAAACTTTTTACTTCTAACAAAAAGAAATGACTACTGAACTATTTAGATCATTAACACCCTTATTATTTTTAATCATAGAAAATAAAGAGATAAATTATTGAAATATTTTATAAATATAATATTTTTTGCATTAAATGTACATAAAAAAATATAAAAATTAATATTAATTTTAGTATTAT